AATAGAAAGAGAAGGGCGAAACCACTGCACCTCTCCCAAAAATCTCTGCCAATCATGAAGTGTTTTTAAATTTGAACAATCCATCTGGAGTCTTTGTGGCCGGAGGCCAGTTTGTTGAATTTGATGACCCAAATAAGTATAAGGAGGTCTCTTTTGGATCTTTTCTGGAGCCAAAATAAATCCTCGGGCCTCCAGAAGCTCCTGTAGCTCTGCAAAGGCTATGTAACATTGTCTTTCCTCGGCCGCAGCCAAAAGAATATCATCCATGTAGTGGATAATGTAAAGATCAGGGAACTTACGTCTGAGGGGATCTAAACAGGCAGCTACATAAATCTGGCATATAGTTGGACTATTAGCCATCCCTTGGGGGGAGCACCACCCATTAGAAGCGAAGGGCAGGCTCCCTAAAGTTAGTCGCAGGAAGGCTAAACGCAAACCGAGGACTATCTTGAGAATGCAAGGGAATAGAAAAGAAGCAATCCTTCAAGTCAATGACAATCAAATGCCAGTCTTTAGGAATGGCCACAGGCACGGGCAAGCCAGGCTGCAGAGCCCCCATAGGCTGCATGGTCGCATTCACGGCCCTCAAGTCTTGTAGTAACCTCCATTTCCCTGAAGATTTTTTTTATTACAAATATAGGGGTATTCCAAGGGGACGTGGAAGGAACCAAATGACCTGCCTCCAATTGTTCTTGAACTAGCTGGTGAGCCGCCCTTAGTTTCTCCGCTGGTAAGGGCCACTGTTCCACCCATACCGGATCATCTGATAGCCATGTGATGGGTAGGGGCTGGCAGCGCAACAGTGACCCTCATCAAAAATGGCCAAAATCCTTCCTATCCCCTGGGGCCCTGGTCTCCAAAGGGAGGGATGTCACAGGGCAAACCTCTCCCTGTTCTAGTTTACCTAGTTCCCTCCCCGGGCTCCAGCCCCTCCCTTGTGTCATCTGGGGGCCCCTGCTTTTGGACTTGGGTGCCTCGGTGGTGAGGACAACTCCCATTTCTTGCATGAGGTCCCTTCCCCAGAGGTTAATAGGGAGGCCAGGCAAAACATATGGCTGGAAAAGCCCTGTGTGGCCCTCAGAGTCTTGCCACTTTAGGATTTTGAGGCTTTTTTGGGGCACAGCCTGTCCTATTCCCTGTCCCTTCCTCTTTCGGCCAGGCGGGAGGTCAGAATTTATCTGAGAGGACAGAGAAATCTGCCCCAGAATCTAAGATGCCCCTAAAGGACTTATCTTCTATCTTTAATGTAAGCTGGGGGCGGTTCTCCATAGTGGCTACCCAAAATGCTGCTGGGCCGGTACTTCCAAAACCTTGGTTGCCCCTTTTCTCTTTAATTTTTCTAGCCTCACAAGGAGCTATAGGGAGGAGGAGTATCTGAGCAATCCGTTCTCCTGCAGGGATGGCAACAACCCCACTGCCCACTGATGTCATTATTTTAATCTCCCCCTCACCATCCTGGTCTATAACACCAGGGTGTACCTGGATGCCTCGAAGAATAGTACTGGACCATCCCAAGAGTAGTCCGACCGTGCCTGGGGGCAATGGCCCATGCACCCCAGTAGGGAGGGCCTGGATCCCCATTTCCGGTGTTAGGATTGCCCGGGCAGAGGGAGCGAGGTCCAATCCTGCACTCCCTGAGGTGGCTCTAAGGAGGTCTGAGATATGAAGGGGTTGCTCTGGGGGAGAAAATGAGTCCTGCCACTGCCCAGAGCAGGGGTCATTGCCCCGTACACATTGGTTTTGGGGCCCTGGGGCGGGGCCCTCCTCCCGTTTCCCTGATTATTATTAGCAGGAAGGAAATTTCCTTCCCGGTCAGTTTTAGAGTAGCAGTTATTGGCCCAATGATATCCCCTTCGACAACGGGGGCATAAACCAGGTCTCTTGAGACCCGTAGTACTATTTTGAGGGCACTTTCTATGGAAGTGTCCCTCCCTGCCGCAGCTGAAACATGTTTTTCTCCTTCCCAGAGTAGGTCTTTCTTTCCCCACTTGGGGCCGAATAGCAGCAGCTAACACTTGGCCCTGGATGAAGTTCCCATCAATGTCCCTACAGATCCGGATATAGTCATTTAGACTTTTATTGCGATAGGGGCGAAGGGCTTCCTTACAATACTTATTTGCATTTTCAAATGCCATCTGCTTTATGACTGGTATCGCAGGCCCAATGCCCCCAAATATTCTTTCTGCTACCTGGCTGAGACGGTCTACGAAGTCTTGAAAAGGTTCGGAAGGTCCTTGAAGGACTTTGGACAGATGATCCCCTCCTTCCTTGGAAGGCAATGCTTTCCAAGCCCCTTGGGCCGCTGCTGCCACTTGGGCATAGACTGCGATGTCATATTGCATTTGTTGCTGAATGGTGGCGTATTGACCACTCCCGGTAAGCATCTCCACATTTCTCTGGGGCTGTCCGGCCTGTGCATTTCTTTGGGCTGTCTGGCTGCATCTTTCCTGAAACTCACCTCTCCAAATCAAATAATCCCCCCCCCGACAGAGCTGCTCTGCAAAGCTGCTGCCAATCGCCAGGTGTCAAATTAAGAGACGCAAAAGATTCCATTAAGGAAAGTGTAAAGGGAGCCTGTGCTCCATAATTTAAAGTTGCCTCTTTAAGTTGTTTTATATCCTTAAAATTTAAAGGGTTATGATGCCGAATGACCTGTCCAGAATTGTTCGGATCTGGAACTTCCATTACTGGGGCCACCACCGGGCAGCATTGGACCCCTCCTCTGGGTCTTTCCTCCAGGTCCCAGAAGGACTGGGTTATCTCATAGGAGGAGTCCCTTTTTTCAGAGTATGGGGAAGGGTTTCTCTCCCTGTCCTGTCTTTCCTTAATTAGAATCTTTTTTAGTTCTTTTTTAAGGGCCGCGATCTCAGCAAGTAACCGTTCGTTTTCAGACTGTGACGAGTCTGAGTCTGAGCTACTTCCATTTTCTAGGTCTGATAGAGAAGGATATAACCGATTCTGACCTGAGTCCTTCTTTTTGGGTCGTGCCCGAAGATCTCTACCCGTTTTTTTGTTGTTACTAAGAGACTCCTCCTCATCCTCACTAACAATGGAGCCTCTAGTTTCAGTCACGGTCTCTTCCTCACTCTCTGCCCCTGAACTCAAGGAGGCTTGAGTCTCAGTCTCTTGTAACTCTAAAAAAGCCTCTTTTGTGTCCTGAACTACCTGGCGGTGACAAACCTTATCTGTCAAAAATGCTCCCCTCACTAATCTCCATAAGAAGAATGTCGTAGGGGGCAAGAACTCAGATCCCTCTTTTCCTAAAAGTCTATGAAATCATGGCGAACCTCCTCCCAATCTGGAATATTTAAGCTTCCCCCAGTAATGAACCATGGACTGGCTTGTTCGATGGATTTTAGAAAGCCTTCTAGGGTTTTAGACTTGACTGCAGTCCCATGTTCTTTAAGTAACTTTTTTAGTTGATACTGTAATGATTCTAGCTTCCCGGAACTATTCCCCATAGTTTCTTAACCCCGTCCACTTACCTCGCTTTCACGATCTCGGTGGGACCTCCAATTGTCACGTCTGCTGCGCGGCCTGTGTCCAAGAACGTGCGGAGGGTGTCGGGGATTGACAACACAGAGACTCGTTCAACGATATAAAGAAAACTTTAAACAGGCTCCAAAAAAGGTTCAAGAAAACCTCCTAAGAAAAGCTCCCACCAGAGAAGCTTCTGCTCTCTCCTCTCCCCTGGCTGGTTCTGCTCTGACCCCAGAGGTGGATGTGTGTGGGTTTTGAAGGTGCGGTTAGTCTTTGGACAAGGTCGAGGTCAGGGCGGTTTCCATGGGATGGCCTTTTCCAGGAACTTATTGTATCGCTTTTAGTAAACATGTTTTTACTAAACATTGTCTTAAAGCTGCCTACTCCCAGGCAGAAGGGGAAGTGGGTCTCTGCTCAAGGTCTGGTGTTCCCACAGCAGGAGGGATATACTTTGAAGAATATTATTTGGCATAATTTTCATGTTCAGGGGAGAACAGCAGGGCTAGGGAAACAAAAGGGTGGCTGGGGAGAAACGGTGCAGAGGCAGGCATGCTCCCGTGACAAGAGGGAGCAGGGAGGGGGCACTGGTCGCATCCCCCCAGACCTCCCCGCTTGCTACCTACCCACTCCTGGGAACACTGGGGACCAGACCAGGCCGAAAGTAATCAGGGTTTACTGGGAGGAAGCTGCTCGCTCTGATGCCGCTCCTTAGCCCTCGGTGGATGTGGACAGAGATGGCTGATGGGGCCAGGCCACCAGGACTCAGCAGCCAGCCATTCTTACCTGCTGGGCACCGAGGAGCCTGGATGTTGGTATGTGGCCCCCTCAGTTACTCATCCTCCCTTCCGCCTGTGAAAAGGAACCCTACTTCACAGAAGAGGAAACCTAGACCCCGAGAGGTTAAGCACTTAGCCCAGGACACACTGAAACGAAGAGACCACGATCGGGTTCAAACCCATTCATCACCAGGATAGGACAACAAGAAAACTGTGGCGGAAAAGCCCAGGGTACCTGAGGCAGAGAAGAAAGTGGTGGGTGAAGAGAACTTGAGGGGTCTGAGTTCACTGGGAAGTAGTGAACTTTTGAATGTGGACAAAAAAAGGAGAAGCCTTGGCCCAGAGACCATAATCTGGGCCTTAGGAATCGGTTTCTGAGACTGGCCTGTGTCTTCAGGCCTGGCCTTGATGCCTGTTTCCGTCCCATCCTCCCTCTGCCAGCAGATGCCCTGTACCCTCCATAGCACATGTGGAGACTTACCTCCCCTTTAGCAGCCTTCTCGGCCCCATCCTGGCCTTTTCTGTCAGCGTGGATGTCCCGAGAGTGCATGGCTGAAAGCAGGGGCACTGGGAATGAGTGACCTGGGCATTTGGGTCTAAGAGGTGCTGCCGAGTGAGCGTGGTGAAGGCTGGGTGAAGCAGGTTGGAGTCTGGGTAGGGAAGGTGTTTGCCCAGGTGATCAGGCCTCAGTGGGTCAGAACCCTGGCTGTTGCATACCAACACCCAACTTTGTTTTGTTCTCAGCCTTCCCTCTAAGGAGGAGCTATTGCTGCCACCAGTTTCATCCCGTCCCCAGCCAGAGCCATCAGAGACCCTGTCCACCTTCCTGCCTGCCTTTCCCCAGGGGCCTCATCAGCCCCTGCCTCCCCGTGCTCCTGAGATCCCTCCCAAGCCTCCCCGCCTGCTCCCTGAGTTTGGTGAGTGTTACAGGACAGCTGGTTTCTGGGTGGTCTCCTGGATCAGCCCTGGAGAGCATGCAGTGGGCATACTCCCTCTCTGCCTAGTGGCTAGCAGTGCCCTCGGTGTCCTGAGTCTCCTCAGAGTGCGTGCTCTTTCTCTCCCCCTGTCTTCTGCTTGCCAAGCATGAGCGTGGTTGACCCTTGGGGTAGAGAGGTTCAAGTGCCGCTGGAGTTGGGGCTGCCACCCCTGGCTTGTCTTGATTCTTGTTGCCTCATAGGCCTTGTTTGGACAGTCCCCACTCCTGACTACAGAGTTTGCTGCCTGGACAGCCTCCTTGTGGTGGCCCTTCCTTTCCTTCAGTATAAATAGCACTTCCTGTCTCCTGTGTCTTTCTTTTGAAACTCAGGCCTGGGTGGGGGTGGGAGTCTATCCTAGCCTAAGAGTGGTTTTACAAAACCAACTCCTAGTGTCCCTTAGAGGAGGTCAAGCTCCTGACTTCCGAGCGCCCCCACCCCCCTTTTTTTTTACCAGACGACCCTGACTATGATGCTGTCCCAGAGGAGGGGCTGGGGGCCCCCGCCAGCGTGATGACCAAGGTAGGCAGGGCAAATGGTTGGGGCAGCGTTGGCTGGCTGTGTTGTGGAGGGAGGGCCGGCTGCCCATTGGCCTGGGAGACCCCAGGATCTCCTCCCCTAGCAGAGTGGGTCCTCCCCCTCCCCTTTACTGTCTCACCATATAGGAATCAGCCCCATAACCTTATCCTGGGGCCCCCAGCTCTCTGGTCTATCTATGGCTTCTATTCCAGACTTGGGTTGCTCTGGCTGGGTGTATGTGTTCTGTTGATGTTTGTGTCTTTGGGTGGATGTCCCTCTGTCTGATTCACTTTTTGTGTCCTTGTGTCCCCCTTCTCTCTTGAGTGTATCTTGTGTCTCTCTAGATCTGAGTCTTTCTCTGGTTCCCTGTCTTTCTGTCTTTCTCCCTGGCCCAGATCAGTGTTTGCCTGATCTTGTCACCCTAGTTCCTGTGTGAGCTCAGGCGCTGGGGGAGGGGTGCAGAAACAGAAGTAAAAGTGCTGAGCTGTGGGTTGAGGATGGAGTAGCAGAGTGGACGTGGCAGCTGGGGGTTTGATCTGGGGTTTGAGGAGGAAAAAAAACGTGACACTGAGTGGTGGGGGGGGGTGCAGGAGGAGCCCTTGCCAAGCCGAGTCCCACGCGCCGTGCGGGTGTCTAGTCTGCTGAGCGAAGGGGAGGAGCTGTCTGGGGATGACGCCGAAGATGAGGATGACCATGCCTATGAGGGTATCCCCAAGTGAGTACCCCCATTCAGCTGCCCTCCTTTCCAAAGCCCAACCTTGCCTGCCCTCCTGTCGCAGCTGTAGCCAGAGGGAGTCCTCGGCCTCACTGCTCTCCTTTCCTTCTCTTGCCCTAGCGGCGGGTGGCCCAGCAGTGGCCTGAACCCACCCTTGCACAGCCTGATCCCTGATCTCCTACCGCACTCCATGGATGAGCTGCCTGGGGGCTCCACCCCCATCACACAGTTCATCAAGGCTGGCTGGCTGGACAAGAACCCGCCACAGGGGTGAGCGAGGCCTGCCAGCACCTTCTAGTGTCTGCATGGGGACAGGGCATGCTCCAGGACACTGGGGTTGTCGTGGATCCAAGAATCAGAGGGGCCCAAGATTATTTGAGCACGTTTCCCCCCACATGCATGGTAACCATTGGTAACCACGGTTAGGTGCTAGGAGAGGGGGGCTGGGTATAATGGCGGGACCTTCCTCCTCATTCCCGACCCTTGCTGACCCCTGCCCGCTCAGGTCTTACATCTATCAGAAGCGATGGGTGAGACTGGATGCCGACTACCTGCGATACTTTGACAGTAACAAGGTGAGGGCCCCGCCACTCCCTCACGTGACCCTCGTTTCTGTCTAGGGCTAGGCTGTACCCCACGAAGCCTATTGCTTCAGGCCCAGTCCTTAGCTGACCGGCAGTGGGGTCCTGGTCTGTGGGCTGGCTGGAGGCAGTGATGGGGCCAGCACAGGGATCCCTGGCCACCTGCAGATAGGCTTGCAGCCATCATTTCCGTGTAGTTGGGCAAGGGGCCCTTGGGTTTCCACTCCGAAATGCCACTCTTCTCTCCCCCAGGATGCCTACTCTAAGCGCTTTGTCCCTGTAGCCTGCATCTGCCGAGTAGCTGCTATTGGAGACCAGAAGTTTGAAGTGATCACAAATAATCGGACCTTCACCTTCCGGGCAGAGAGTGATGGTGGGAGTTGAGAGAGAGAGAGAGAGAGAGAGAGAGAGAGAGAGAGAGAGAGAGAGAGAGAGAGAGAGAGAGAGAGAGAGAGAATGCACACGCTCGTGTGTGTGTGTGTGTGTGTGTGTGTGTGTGTGTGTGTGTGTGTGTGTGTGTGTGTTGGAAGTTTGGTCACCTTGTGGAGAGTGGGAAGGGAACAATGTATGTCTGCTCCCTAACACGTCATTCTCAGGGAGATATTGTCCCTGTGTGGTCTGGGGAGAAGGAAGGAGATACTGACAGTAGCCAGCTCCTTCCCAGACACTCCCCAGCCCCACAGAGCCACACATCAGCACGCAGAGGGGACGCAGGCTCCAACAGTTGTGGCGACTTGCTCAGTGTAAGCCACACAAGGTGGCATTGGGGCCTAGGTTGCCCAAGTCTGGAAAAGTGACAGACTAAACTGGTGGGCTTCCTTGGGAGGTGATTTCTGAGGCCCCAGGGTCCCTGTTAACTGAGCTCCTATGTCACTTTCACCCTCTTTCAGTGGAGCGGAATGAGTGGGTGCAGGCTTTGCAGCAGGTGGTGGCTGAACAGCGAGCCCATGTTCGGCTCTCCAGTGCTTCTGTGCTGGGCGTTCGAGGCGCTGAGCAGCCTGACCGCGCTGGCAGCCTGGAGCTGCGAGGCTTCAAGAATAAGCTTTATGTGGCTGTGGTTGGGGACAAAGTGCAACTCTACAAGAATCTGGAGGTACAAAGGACTCTACCAGGCCTCTGAGCTCTCCCTGCCTGTGCTCATCACAGTCCCCTTCCCTGTCCCTCTCCTGTCTACCTGGGCTTGCTAGGACCCAAGCCCAGTATTTTCCCTTCCAGCTTCTCCTGCCTGCGTGCCCCCTCTTCCCTGTTGTCTGCCGTTACCTCGTCTCCATCCAGCTCCTGGGTACCCCTCCTCCATCCTGCCCCACTCAGCTCCTACGCCACCCCACCCTCACCCCGGCCGGCCCAGTCCAGGCTTCCGTCCGGGCTCAGATTCCTCCCTCCCTCCTAGGTTCTTTCTTATCCCTAGGAACCGCCTTTCCCTGTTTCCCATCCCGTGCCCTAAGTCCTGCTCTCAGCCTGGCCTTCCTCCCCACCCACCCACCCACCAGGAGTTCCATCTGGGCGTTGGCATCACCCTCATAGACATGAGCGTGGGCAATGTGAAGGAAGTGGACCGGCGCAGCTTCGACCTCACTACCCCCTACCGCATCTTCAGGTGAGCCCTCCGCCCCGCCCTTGGCTCACCAGCATCCTCTTGGGATTTCCGTTTCCCGTCCCTTCCAGCCCTACCCCATGGAGCAGGTCTGCTCTGGTGGTCTGTCAGAAGTCTTCTCCCATCTTCGTCTGGCCATTTCACACTGCTTGTGAGGTATCCCCCCGCGCCTGCTGCCCTCTCCCTGGGTGCTGCTCTGCAGGACCTCCTGGCCGCCCCCAACCCCGAGCCTGTGGGTTCTCCAGCAGAACCTGCTTATGCTCAAAGCCTGTTAACTCCTGGGACACCTCCCTCACCGCCCTTCTCCGCCTCATGCAGCCTGTCACTGTCTACCTCTTTTGTACTCTACTTTGGCTGTCCCCTTTCTGTGTCTGTCACCATCCTGGCCAAAGCCTGGCAGGCCCTCTGGTCTCTGCCTCATTACTCGATGATTGTCGGTCTTAGTGGCTTCACTGTGTCCATGGTGATAGCAGGGTAGTGACCTTTGACCTCAAGAGCTAGATTGATGTTTGTCTGTTTCTTATATCTGAAGTATCCTGTGACATTGGCCCTGTAATTCTTTGCCATAATCCTTGGTGGCCTCAACAGCTGCAGCTCACCACTTTGGGGTTCTCTTTCTGCCAGTTGCAGAGGCCACTGTGGTCCCCTGGTTACTGTCACTGTCACCCACCTTAATGAGGCTGACAGATGTTCAGCAGAAAAGGCCTCCCCTCTGGCCGACAGGGCTTGGTGCAGTGAAGGCCCTTGCTCTCTGAGGCTCTGGCAGCTTTTGAGTTCCCCGGCTGGCTGTTGTGGTGAGGCCGTCTTCATCAGCCCCTCTCCCAAAGAGGCGCCCATGGCCATTACCCGTTCACCCCTTCCTCGACTCTGCTGATAGGTTATAACAGTGTGGACTCTTAGACACTTGTGTGACAGCAACAGCAGAGAAAGAGCCAGAGGGAGGGTTTGTTTCTTTGTTTTTATTTCTTTCTTGAGACAGGGTTTCTCTTTGTAGCAAGGATTGTCCTGGAACTTGCTCTCTGAACCAGGCTGGCCTCGAACTCAGAAATCCACCTGCCTCTGGCTCCCAAGTGCTGGGAGTGTGTGCCACAACTGCCCAGCTTCAGAGGGAGCTTTTATAGGAAGGAAGGAAGGAAGGAAGGAAGGAAGGAAGGAAGGAAGGAAGGAAGGAAGGAAGGAAGGAAGGAAGACAGTTCTGTATTTGTTGTCCAGAGAGCTTCCCACCCTGAAGAGCAGGAGGCCATGGCTGGGGTCTGTTTGTCAGGCCCATGGAGTTCACCTTCCCTTCTTCCTTCCTTCCTTCCTTCCTTCCTTCCTTCCTTCCTTCCTTCCTTCCTTCCTTCCTTCCTTCTTTCCTTCCTTCCTTCCCTCCTTCCCTCCTTCCCTCCTTCCTTCCTTCCTTCCTTCCTCCCTCCCTCCCTCCCTCCCTCCTTCCCTCCTCCCCCTCCCTCCTTTCCTCCCTCCTTCCCTCTCTCCCTTTCTTTTTAAGTCAGGATCTCTCTGCACAGCCCTGGCTGTCTTGGAATGTACTATGTAGGCCAAGCCAGCCTGGAACTCACAGAGACCCACTGCCTCTGCCTCTGCCTCTGCTGGACCCCCAGGGCAGTTCTTTCTGGAGTCACAGCTGGGGCTGGGATGTGAAGGAGTTGGAGATGGAGACGGCACACACCTCTGTATTCTGTCTTCCGCCCATACGAGCCCTGGCTTGGTGCTCCTCTCTCCTGAGGGTACCGTGTGCCTGCTCTGCCTGTCTCTCGTTGTCTCCTCTCCCATCTGCTTGCCTGTCCTCCGCCTGTGTGCCACACTGCCCTCCCTGAGCCTCTACTCCCTCATCGCCTGTCTTAGCCCTTCTTTTCTGCCTCCATGTCTTCCCGGCTCCCCCTTTTACTCCTAGTTTCTGTGGTTCCTTTAGTCCTACTCACTTTCCCTCCAGTCCCAAGATGATCTCTTTTCTGACCCCGAGCTCAGGCCACGCCTTCCTCACACTGACCCTCCAATCCCGCCAGCCCTTTCCACTCAGCTTCCCTCCTTATGTGTTCCCAGCTTCTCAGCTGATTCAGAGTTGGAGAAGGAGCAGTGGTTGGAGGCCATGCAGGGAGCCATCGCAGAGGCCCTGTCTACCTCAGAGGTGGCCGAGCGCATCTGGGCCGCAGCCGCCAACAGGTTCTGTGCTGACTGTGGGGCTCCCCAGCCTGACTGGGCCTCCATCAATCTCTGCGTTGTCATCTGCAAGCGCTGTGCAGGTAGGCATGTGTGGGACAGCCTGGCCCCTGGGCCATAGGTGGCGAATTTGGTGGCCCCTGGGGCCCTTATTCCTAAGGCTGCTCCAGCATTATTGGCTGTTCTTGGGGGGGGGTGACCTTTGGTCCTCAATTCATGGTTATACTCTCTTCACAGGGGTGGGGACAGACAAAAGGGGAAAAAGGATTTTTTTCAGGGCTACCTGGCAAGTAGGTGAGCTTAGATCAGAGCCTAGCCTGTTGGAATCTGGTGTCCCTGTCACATGTAGGAGGCCAGGCCCACCAGGGCTCTTCATGCTGAGAGAGGAGCCAGAGTTTTGGCCAGAGGAGATGTGAGATGTAAAGTCAAGGGGCCCAGGGGCGTGGTCAGCTCTGTGGGCCAGACTCTGGCTTCTAGGCAGAAGCTGAGATTGGAGACTAGAGCAGGGAGAGGCAGGGCGCTGCTGCACCATCCAGGAAGCTCCAAGACCTAGGGTGGTGTGAAAGTTACACAGGAAAGTCTCCCTGAAGCATGGCTGAGGAGGGTGGGACTGGGAAAAGGTGGGACCCACAGTGTATTTCATCTGTTGACTCTGCTTACTGCATGCTGGTCACTGGATTATCCTGAGAGCCTACAGTGCCCGGCTGGTGGTTTTGCATGGCTGCTGGGGGTGGGGTGGGGTGGGGTGGACCTTGATGTGGGAATTCAGGAGGAAGCACAGATCTGAGTGAGTCAGTAAGTTGGGAAGAGCCCCTAGGCTTGCGAGACCTTAGGGCAGATGTCAGGGCTTGGGGTCTGGAGGTCTTTGTGCTGACAAGAGGCAGCTTCGCTGGTGATCACGTAAGGAAAGAGTCAGTTCAATCCGTTGATGATACAGCCTGACTATGGTGGATGTGGTTCTCCATGGAAGATGGTATATGGATGCGGGACCTGGGCTTGAGCCAGGTATTCCTAATGTCCCTAGCTCACTCTCACTCTGGACCTGCTGCTGAGCAAGTCATTATTCTAGCTCCAACCTTAGGCTTTCCTTTCACTGGCATTTGTTAAATGCTTATTGTGTACCAGGGTTTGTTCTGGGCACTGAGAACAGAAACCTAGAGCCAGCTCAGGTCCTGTTCATATGCAGCTGCACTGCAGTGGGAAAGGCCGAAAACACAGGAACCAATGAAAGCATTGCAATTGCAAGAGGAGGGACGTGAAGTTACCATTTGTTTGGGACATGTCTGAGGAGGTAGCATGTCAGCTGAGACCTGAATGACAGGAAGGCATGGCCATGTGGGGGAATGGGGAAGAGAGTTGAGGCATGAAGTTGGGGATGGCGGGGGAGTGGATAGGTCCTTATATCTACTACCAGAGCAGCTGATGGTGTGGAACAGAGATTTGCAAAGTGGCCTGGAGGGGAGCCCTAGTAAGGTGTGAGCAATGGGTATGTGACCAGATTCTGGAGCCATGCCAGAGTGGAGTTACAGACTAGCTCCAGGCCTGCCTGAGGAGCACTGGGGGTGGTTGAGTGCTCACTGAACGGGTTGCACCCAAGGAACTATATCTGGTCCTCATGACAGGGGAGCACCGTGGCCTGGGTGCTGCAGTGTCTAAGGTGCGGAGCCTGAAGATGGACAGGAAGGTGTGGACAGAAACACTCATCCAGGTGGGCATGCCCTGCTTGTCACCCATGCTTGCGTTCCCTTCTCAACTGTTGCCTTCCATCCCCCATCTCAATGATCTCAGAACTTTGGAGCGAGGGGAACCTCTAGATAATTTAGTGGGTGGGGATTTTGGAAAAGCCTATTTTTGGCAAAATCAGCAAACTGGCCAGTGTACTAAGAATGTTTTTTTTTTTTACAGTTTTAAAGGATTGTAAAAAAAGATTTGATAGAGAGATTGTATGTGTTCCACAAAACTTAATGTATTATTTGACCTTTTAGAGAATTGCTGACCCCTGATATAGTTCAGCTGTTGTCCTGATGTGGAAACTGAAGCCCTGGATTGGGCTGTAATGTGCCTAAGGTTACCAGACTACTGCATATTGGCCACCCAGCCTGTTCCTTTCCACCCCATGCCCTAGTTGAGCTGGGCTCTTCTCCCCTGTGCATACCCTCAGTGCCTCTGAGCTTTCACTGCACCTGCATTCGTGAGCATAGCGTGTGTATGGTGCATGATTTGAGGCTCACATGTACACATATATTTAAAGCTATGCATTTAAACTTCTCTGGTGCGCACGCATGGGTGGGTGCGTGTGTGCGTGTGTGTGTGCGTGCGTGGGTGCGTGTGTGTGTGTGTGTGTGTGTGTGTGTGTGTGTGTGTGTGTGTGTGTATGATGACTGTTATGGGGAACCTGCAACAGGAGGCTACATCCAGGAACCTGCCACCCAGGACCTCAGTGCTAAGTTGGGGATGTCCCAGCATATCCATTTCATGTGTCCCCACTATGTGTTTGGCATATCAATGTGGCTTTTGTTAACGAATTGTCTTTTGCAATAATCCTGAGTTAGGTTTGGAATACCCAGGATACAGATGAGGACACTGAGGCCCAGGGAGAAAAAAAAAAAGCTTGAGCAGGTCCATAGTGGCAGGGAGTGTTTCTGCTTTGTTCTCTGCTGTGACTCCAGTACGCTGTACAAGTGGGCTGGGGAGTTCAGGAAATGCCTGCAATGGGGTGAATATGGAACAGAGGGGGGACCGCTCTCAGCCCTAGTGCTGCCCCCCTTCACCTAGAAACCACCACTGCCTCTCATCCAGAGAGGGGTGTCAGGGACAGGCAGACCCAGTCTCCACCTACCCTATTGGCTAGCAGGTTAGACACCATCCCTCATGGGACAGCCTTAAGAATGCAGAGTTCCAGATGTGGGGCCCGGGTGAGACAGCAGCGAGGCCTCCAGAGACCAGGCCTCAAGCATTCTCCTATCAGACTGTCTGAGACAATCTGGGCCAAGAGCCTGGACCTCGAGCAAGAGCGCCATGGCTACCAGCAGACCTAGTGCTCCTGACCCCCCTCCCGCGTGGGGAAAGCTTTGGGGTATGTGGCCTGATCATCCAGGGACCTCTCATTGTCAGCTGACCCTCTCACCTCTTGCCCACACCCACAGCTCTTCTTACAGCTGGGCAATGGCCCTGGGAACCACTTCTGGGCCGCCAACGTGCCCCCCAGTGAGGCCCTGCAGCCCAGCAGCAGCCCTGGTGCCAGACGGAACCACCTGGAGGCCAAATACAGAGAGGGCAAGTACCGCCGCTACCACCCACTCTTTGGCAACCAAGAGGAGCTGGACAAGGTCAGCACACCGAGTCTCTGGGATTCTTGGGCCTTCTTGTCCCTGCATTGTCAGGGACCCTGGGACCTATCCCTTTCTTCATTGTCACCGTTCCTCTCTGCCCATCTCTTCCATAGCTTAGAGGGCTGTGAACACAGAGGGGACCTGAGGCCCAGAGGGCAGCAGGGCTGCATCAGGGACACTAGGACAATGCAGGGAGGAGTCAGGCTGGGCTCTTGGTCCAGTGCCATGTCTTCAGCATCTGGCTGCCTCCTCCTGATTCCTCTGTCTCCCGCACCCTGTCCTGTTCCTTCAGAGCCCTGCCAAAAGGAGTGAACTTGATGGGGATGCTATTTCCTGTCAGGCTCATGAAAAACAGCTGGACTGCTCTGACCCACCCCATCCACACCCCATTCTAGATGAGGCCCCATGTGGGCCCCAGACCTGAGAAGATTGGGAACCGAGTCTTGCACCCTGATCTGGCTCAGGCCTGAGTGGGGGACGACTCGTTTGGAGGCAGCAGGGTGGCATTTGTGACCTATGGGGTGGCCTTCAACTTTTCCTCCAAGCAACCCTACCCAGGCAGGCTGAGTCTAGCTCCCAGAGCTCTGTGGATGCTAGGCCTCCACTTCCTAGGCGTCCAGGCCCCAGTTCAGCCCGGCCCAGTCTGGCCTATAAGCCAGAAGGATGATGATTCCCATTGGTCAGGAGGGCTGGGCAGGCAGTGAGGAATTCAAATGTGGGAGGAATTAGCTACAACCCTTAGCCCCGCCCTCTGCCCCCGCTGCTAGGCAGAAGGAGCCTGAGATCCTCCGGTGGCTCCTTGCAGCCTGACCAGAAGCTGTGCCCCAGGACCCACAGGGTGAGCCCTGTGGCTAGGACGCCAGCCTCACCTGGGTAGTCTCTGCCCAGCCTCCCCAGCTTGCCTTCTCCTCTTCTTTTTCTTTTCTTCTCTTCTGGCTTCCCTAAGCCCTGGTCTCTTTCAGTCTGAGGATGGTCCACCCAGATACGGGTGATTCCTTCCTCTCCCCCCCCCCCTTCTGGCATGCTCCCACCCCTGCTTCGATTGACCCTCCCCTCTCCTCTAGGCCCTGTGTGCTGCAGTTACTACCACTGACCTGGCTGAGACCCAGGCACTCCTGGGCTGCGGGGCTGGGGTCAGCTGCTTCTCAGGGGACCCGGCAGCTCCCACACCCCTGGCTCTCGCTGAGCAGGCTGGACAGACGCTGCAGATGGAGTTTCTACGGAATAACCAGAGCACAGGTGAGTGGCCAGGGGAGTCTGTCCTCGGCTGGCAGGGTCTGGCATTTTAGAGGGATTTACAGGGGTGTCATCAGAAACTGCATCAGCTGGGAACCTGGATTTGCAGGCCACTCCCAAGCTGTGATGGAAGATCCTTGGTGGTCCCTGGAGCAGCAGCACAGTACTTGGGCTGTGTTTGGGGTTTATGGGTCAGTGGACACATGATTTCTGCGAGGGCCCTTTTGTGTCTGTCTATCCGTGTGTTCTGTCCTGACTGACAGTGTGGGTCTTTAGTGGTGGTGTCTTCTCCAGGATGAACCTTGGAGCCGTCTAGGTTCTTTTCCCTCCCTCTGGGAGTGTTAAGGCTTTGGGGATTGTGTATGTGCAGTGGGACTGTGTGTGTTGCCGTGGAGGAGGCTTGTTGCCATGTGTGTGCGACCTACACAGCAGCCTTGTCGTCTTCCTGCTTAGTCTGGGTGGAGTTCCCTCACAGACCTGGGCTGGTTCCCATTTGGCTCCCATTCTTGGGGTGGGTGAAGAGGGGGTTGCTAGGGCGAATGGCGTTGGTTGTGGCCCAGACCTGGTCTCTTGAGGCAACATCCTAAGGTTGAGGGTGGGGCTCAGCGGCTGGGGCTCTGGGCTTTGAGCCACGGGTGGGTGGGGCGTGCTGGACTGGAGTGGACCCAGGTGTCTAGGGAGGTACAAGAGACCACCCAGCTGGATTGGGCTAGGGAGCAGGACCCTTCAGTGCTGACCAATGGGCCAGGCTACTTCACTGGCCTTTGTGTTGTCTGGGACAAAACGCTCTCTAGGGAATGTTATTGAGTTGGCCCGAAGCCCCCTCATTCCAGTATGCTTGGCTCTGTGTCTCCAACAGAGAGTGTGGGGTGGGCTTGGGAGTCAGTGAGGCTTCTTGAGATGGGAAGGACTGGAGCTGGGTCCTGAGAATGGAGTGACTTCCCACTTGCAGGCAGATGTGCAGATGTGGCTTTTCAAAACCTTGGAGGCAGCAGTAGGAGCCTGCGGGTGCTGGCAGGGAGCTGAGGAAGCAGGACTGTAACCAGAGCATGAGCCTAGGTGCCTTGTCTCAGAGGACACCTCCTGGGCACCCAGCATGACTACTACCGTTCTTTCTTCCACTCCAAAGAGGTCCCTCGACTTGACCCGGTGAAGCCCATGGAAAAGCACTACTCCATTATCCTGCCGACCGTGAGCCACAGTGGTTTCCTCTACAAAACAGCTTCTGCCAGCAAGCCTCAGCAGGACCGCCGTGCCCGGGAAGGTGAGTGCTGGCTGCACCATGCCCGCCCCGGCCCACAGTGTGTCGGGCCAGGAAACCGGCGTGGCTCCACTGGTGGACCCCAGGGTGCCAAGTGAACTTTGGCAGGGCCACCAGGAAAATCTTTTGGATTTGGCCTCTTGTGTACAGTAGGTACTTGAGAAATGGGCTGACTGGGGTGGGGGTTGGGTGTGGCACTGCAATTTCCTCAAGCCTAAAGTCTGTACGGAGCCCTTGCTGGGTGTGGTCTGGGCTGGGTGTCTGGTGCACCCCAGCTGTGGACTGAAGGCAATTTGAGGGCTCGCACTTGAGTGCCGTCCCTCTAGATTTCAGCTGCCTCCCGTTTATTCCCTGACTCCAAGTGCAACCTGCAGTCCTTACCCATCACCCAGGACCTTCTATCAACTACCCACCCTCTTACAGCACAGACACCCCTTACCCATCACCCAGGACCTTCTGTCAACTACCCACCCTCTTACAGCACAGACACCCCTCCCCAGATTCTGCCCCAGCCCTGTGACGTCCTTGCTTTGTCACACATGCCAGATTCACACCCACCTCTCTGCCCCAAATGCTTTCCCCAGATGCCCCATAAAATGCCATGTCCGCAGGGATATCATGCCATCCCCAGCCACTTTATACAGTGTTGCATGTCACCTTCAATCCTACTTTTTCTTCTACTGCTCCATCTGTTTCTAGTCTCTTTTCCCCCCTCCCTTCTTTACAAGACATATCTCTGTGCGCCCCAGAGCCTGGGCCTTGAACTCCCGGGCTCAAGCTGCTGTCTTGTCTCAGCCTTCTGTGTAGCTAAAATCATGGGCATTGTCACCACACCTGTCTCGGTTTCCTTCGTTGTGTGTATCTGTATACATGTAGCCCAAGTACCCGGGGAGAGCTGGTACCAGTGGGAACTTGACGTACATCTGCAGAGTGAAGGAGACCACAGTAGGGCTGGTTGCTTCTGGAGAGTATATCCTTGGAGACAGGCTCGGAGGCACATTGCCCTCAGAAGATAGGAGTTGGGTCACACAGACAAAATGAGGAAAAGCCTGCTGGGGGAAAGGCCATTTCTTAGAGCCTCTCTCAACACCCCTTCTTGGAGTACCCCAGATAAAACCCTCTGATTTCCAGACAGTGTAACCCTGAGCTGCTTCTGGTCCATTTTCATCTGCCTGATAATGTCATTTATGTAACCCCTGTCATTTATGTAATGCCCCTGAGTCATCCTTTTTCACCTTGGGTGCCAGGAAGCTCTGAGCCACTGTGAGGCTAGTGTTGAGAGCTGTCGAGCCTGCCTGGCTTGGGTGTTCTGTTCTTTCTCTCACCTTCCATGGTCCAGAGTCCCATTTCTGCTCCCTTTGGGGATCTTGTGCCTCCTCAGAGCCACTGCAGGAGGAGACAGACTGTAGGATGAGGTGTGTGTCTGGCAAAGAAGAGTGGGCACGGGGTGGGCTTCCAAGACCTCCTATGCCATTGGAGCTATAGGTAGAGGGACTGGGTGGACAGGAGCTAGGAGTGGTCAAAGAGGCAGACAGAGGGCAGATCCAGGCTGAGAGACTGGGGGCAGCATGGGATCTAACACCTAAACATCTAATGTCTAAACAGACGTAGGAGCAATACTCCATCACCCCTAGCTTCCAAGGTAGAGGCCAAAAGTTCATGGAGAGGCTAAGGGGAGAGAGGTGGGAACTAGGTGCATAGGGCCGCCGCCAGAGGAATACTCGGGGAAGCTGTGAGTTAGAGCGGAGAGCCTGCAGGTCTGGAGGAATCAGGGACCCAGGAAAAAGGCAGGAGTGCTTTTCAGCAAACCTGGGGGCTTCTTCATGGTTCCTCTGCCAAACTTCTTCCCAGAGTTCAGCCGGCGCTGGTGTGTCCTTAGTGATGGGGTCCTGAGTTACTACGAGAATGAACGGGCAGTGACACCCAATGGGGAGATTCGGGCCAGTGAGATTGTATGCCTGGCAGTTTCCCCTCTGGACACCCATGGGTGAGCATCCCCGGCCATCACCACAAACTACTAGTGCCTATGAAGTTCAACTTCTGACTGGGGAGACAGGGACATAGGCCCAGAAAAGGACAGGACCTTCTCAGGTCCACACGCAAAGGACCGTAAAACACTGAGCATATCCCATGAGGCTGCAGCCTAAGGCTGTTTGTCTACCTCTTGGGGGTCAGGGGAAGGGCACTGACAAGGGCAGGGAGTAGAGAGAGTGGTGGTTAAGGGAGGGGGGCGCCGGACTAGCTGGGTGAATCGTGGTTTGTATATTTGCAGCTTTGAGCATACCTTTGAGGTGTACACAGAGGGAGAGCGGCTGTACCTGTTCGGGCTGGAGAGTGCAGAGCTGGCTCATGAGTGGGTCAAGTGCATTGCCAAGGTGGGCCTGGGTTAGCAGGGCGGTGTGTGGTAGAGGTGGGGTGGGACCTCTGGCTGCACCCCAGCTCCTCCATCCCCGATGGGGCGGGAGCTGTGTGGAGGTGCAGCAGACTCAGGACAGACCTCTCAGGTCAAGGGAGATATAGGTTGCAGCCCTCTGGCACCTAAGGGATATTTGCTATGGGGGTGAGGGGACAAGTTTTTAGGCCATCGTAACGGGGACAGTGCTGACTCCAGGAACGTGAGTCTCTAGCCTTGCAGGTCAGACTAGCGAGAAAGGAAGGCAAGGAGGCTACAGAGGAGAGATCCGCCTTAGAAACTAAGCCAAGAGCCCTCTTGTGCCTTGAGAGCCTGGGCCTCTTCATCCCCCATTAGTGCTTTTGATGAGTTCTCTATGGCTTTTGAAGATCAGTGGCCAGAGCCCTGAAGACTCAGGTGTACCTGTCTTGGGTCTCCTGTTGTTTCTATGGAAGTGGGTCAGACAGACTGAGTGTGGGCACAGTAGCATATCCAATGATGTAGCAGATGGCCGAGCATGGGGGCACTGTGGGATCGCAGAGAAGGGACATCCCAAGAGAAGGACACATACAAACGGGTACAAAGCAGGACATGACACCAAAGTTCTGTCACTGTGCTACATTCTGCCTTGGGGAGGGGGGCGGAAGTGGCTAGATGGGAAAGAACCCTTAACCCACAGGCCAAGGAGCTGAGCTTGGGCATCTCCAGAAGCCTATGCAGTGTTATATTGTCTCTCCCCACTGTTTCCCCAACTAGGCATTTGTGCCTCCTCTGGCCGAGGACCTGCTAGCCCGGGACTTTGAGCGGCTTGGGCGCCTACCCTGCAAAGCTGGCCTGAGCCTTCAGCAGGCCCAGGAAGGCTGGTTTGCCTTGGCTGGCTCTGAGCTCCGAGCTGTCTTCCCAGAAGGGCCCTGGGAAGAGCCACTGCAGCTCCGGAGACTGCAAGAGCTTTGTACGTGTACCCTAGCCTGGTTCCCCCATCTCTCGGACTCCTTATCCCAGGTCCCAACCCCTAGCCCTTTTCTGGAAGACTGAATTCTATTCCGGCCTGAGGCCAGATGGCCCAGATGGCCCAGCCTACCCTCCCACATCCTCTGCTGTCCTTGGAGTACATCTCAGTAATCCTTCTAGTTGGTGGGTGGAACCTCAGAGTGTCATCTTAGAGGGCCTCAGAGGGGAGCAGCTTGGGGGTCGTAAACAAAACCCGGACCTCACCTTGACTGGTCCCTCCACAGCTATCCAAGGAGACAGCGAGAACCAAGTTCTGGTGCTGGTAGAGCGGAGGAGGTGAGCCTTAGCTTCCCTGAGGAGCCTGGAAAAGCCTGAGGGCAGTCCAACAGCCTGGGGAGAGGTGGGACACAGGGACAGACCGGTGGGACAGTGACAGTCTCTGGTCCAGGACACTGTACATCCAGGGTGAGAGGCGGCTGGACTTCATGGGTTGGCTAGCGGCCATCCAGAAAGCAGCAGCCAGCTTGGGAGACACACTGTCAGAGCAGCAGCTCGGGGACTCAGACATCCCGGTGATTGTGTACCGCTGTGTGGACTACATCACACAATGTGGTGAGCACCCCCCCCCATGGCCCAGCCATTCCCCTTCTCTGGTGATGCCCCGTCTCCAGTGCCCAGGATCCCGCTAAGAGTGGTGTAACTCCCTCCCCAGGCTTGACCTCAGAGGGTATCTACCGCAAGTGTGGTCAGACCTCCAAGACCCAGAGACTGCTGGAGAGCCTGCGGCAGGACGCACGCTCTGTGCACCTCAAAGAGGGAGAGCAGCATGTGGACGACGTCTCCTCTGCGCTCAAGCGCTTCCTGAGGGACCTGCCCGATGGCCTCTTCACTCGTGCACAGCGCCTGGCCTGGCTGGAGGCCTCTGGTGGGTCCTGCTGCCTGCGTCCAGCCTTGTCCACCCTACCTCAGGGTGTCCCCGTCATTTCTGGACAAGGCTTGCCCCAGCTCCTCTGCGTACTCTGCTTCCCAGTCTTCTAGCTATGCTCTACGGAGATGGGGTTGCTTAGAGGTGGAGGATGGAGACGTCCCGGTCCCTGCCAGGTGCCTGGGATGCTATCTCCATCATGAGAAGCAAAGCTTCTGGAAGGGGCATTGGTGACCGGTTGCTAACCCAGTCCATCTCCCCCCACCCAGAGATCGAGGATGAGGAGGAAAAGATCTCCAGGTACCAAGAGCTCTTTGTGCATCTGCCCCCTGTCAACCGGGCCACTGTGAAGGCCCTTATCAGCCATCTGTACTGGTAAGGAGCCATGTCAATGTAAGGTTCTGGGTGGATGTGTGGAGGAGATTCTTTCACTCCAAACCTGGCTGACTGCCTGCTCCTGGGTAGCAGGTGGGCCTGGGGAGCCAACCAGTGACTGCCCTGATCTTGGCCATTGTAGCTTAACTTACTTCCTGAAGGATAGGGGGCACGGGGTATTTGTCAGTTTGGGGCCAGCTTACTGAGGCCAAATGCCCTCGCTTCCGTCTTATACCTTGCCAGGACCTGAGACGTGTCCCTTTCACTCCATAATTAGGGTCCACTCTGTCTTCTTTGACCTCGGTCCTTCGGCCAGTGTTGGCCTGATGGGAGCTGAGAAGTTGGGTGGGAAAGCTCTGGGCCAGGCTCCTCAATCATCGCTCACCTCTGTTCTCACTCCAGTGTGCAGTGCTTCTCAGACACAAACCAAATGAACACACACAACTTGGCTATTGTGTTTGGGCCCACACTCTTCCAGACAGATGGGCAGGACTACAAGGCCGGCAAGGTGGTGGAAGACCTCATCAATCACTACGTGGTGGTGTTCAGTGTGAGTCCCGGCTGGGACTGGGGCCTGTGGCAGGGCCAGTGAGGGGAGGGGTGGGCAAGGCTGAGCCTCTCAGATGGCGTTGACCATATGGCCCTTCCCAGGTGGACGAGGAGGAGCTGAGGAAGCAGAGGGAGGAAGTTACCGCCATTGTGAAGATGCGAGTGGCTGGCACTGCCAGTGGGACCCAGGTGCAGGCCAGGGCTTGGGTAGGCTTGGGCTGGCTGCTAGCACTGCTCCCCGTACCCCTGGCTGAGCCCCGTCTCTCCTGCAGCATGCTGGGGACTTCATCTGCACCGTGTACCTGGAGGAGAAGAAGGTGGAGACTGAACAGCACGTCAAGGTGGGGGCTTTAAGCCCGGCTGGGCCAGGGGCAGCCACAGATGGCCACTTTGAGATGTATGAGGATCCCCAAAGACACTCCTCTTTGCATCTTGGGGCTCAGCGGACCCAATGAGGAGTGGGTTTGGTGCCTGAATCACAGGAGATTGTGGCCCAACAGGAGCTCGTGATACATTTGGGACTGACTGGTCTTCTCCTGGGTCTCTGCAGATCCCAGCCTCCATGACAGCAGAGGAGCTTGCCCTGGAGATCCTAGACCGCCGCAATGTGAGCATCAGAGAGAAGGACTACTGGACTTGCTTTGAGGTCAACGAGAAGGAGGAGGCAGGTGAGTGGCCATGGGCGGCCTTTATCCTAGCCTTTGTTCCCCCTGCTCCCTGCAGTTTGGGAACCAGAGGTTTTGGATGACTGTTTTCGCTGACACGCGAACAAACATTGGGATCTCCATGCTGGTGGTGACAGGCAGCTAACAGGGTCTGGTGGTGGCTGTGACAGGGCTGATGGTAGACAGGGGAGGGATAGGTGGTGCCAGTCCTGATGATGCTTTCCCGCGTGTCAGAATGGTGCTGCCTGCAGAACAGCAGCATTTCAGGGCGATACCATTCTTGGGGCAGAGAAAGTGGTGCTCATACAAGCAGATGGCTGGGCTGGGAAAGCCTGTCTATGGTGGTGGGTGGACCAACTGAAGCCTTTTATGGTGAAGGGAGTGGCGTTGGGGCGAGAGGTGGAATCGCTGCCCACATCAGCTGTTTTTGTTGAGTGGGCAGGTACTAGGCTGAGGAGCCAGGCAGGGGTCAGTCTGGTCAGGGATGGAGATGCTTAGACCACGATCACTGCCAGAAACAGACAACTACCTTGGTGTTAGCTAACTGATTTAAAGGGAAGGCCCAGGCTGTCTGCAGAGCCTCTGACAGGGCTGATGGCTTTGGAGTCCCTGAGCCTGCTGTGAGGAAGAGTAAGGGCTACTTGGTGAAGATGGGGCAAGTGCTCCCAGCAAGCACAGCAGCTCTAGCCCTGAGCTGAGTCTTCCAAGAGACACAGGGTGGGATTGGAGGTAGAGGCAGACACATGGGGCCTGGTGGTGATGCAGGGCCATCAAGTGGTTAGTGACAGGGTTTTGAGAAGAGGCTGTTCGCTACTAGATTGGGAGAGCCGTGACAGGAAGTCAGAGTACATGCTGGAGGCCACTAGAAGGTCCTGATATTAATCCAAATAGAAGCTGAACTGTGGGGCAGTGCAGAGAGGCATACCAGATTTAACCGGTGAGGGTAGAAGGAACTGGAGCAGTTTTGGTGTGAGCAGGGGCAGTGCTTGTTGGGGACACATGGGTGACAATACAGACTTGGTTTTGGTTGTAACTAGCTGTGACAAGCTGGCTTATGGTATGTATGCTGCTGGTGGATGGTGAGATGTGTAAGTGGCTTGTGTCCGTGTGCTTGCCCTTGGTTGGTAATTAGCTGTGTAGTGACAGTGACAGTGGTGTGGCCTCTCCACAGAGCGTCCACTGCACTACTCGGAGAAGGTGCTGCCCATTGTGCATGGCCTGGGCATAGACAGCCACCTGGTGGTGAAGAAGTACCAGTCCATGGAGTCCATGCTGCTGTACTTGGGTAAGTGGTGCCGCAGGGGATGCAGGGTGATGCGTACCTCCATCTAGAAGCAGGGTGGGACCTGGTGGCCCCAGGGCAGAACAGCTCAGGTAGAGGGACCTGGGGGCTTTCCACCAGGCTGGGACATGCAGTAGGGCACTGAGGCCGGTAGGTGGGGTAGTGTAGTCCATGCTCACTCCAGTCCCCTACTAGCCAGCCGTGTGGGTGACACCAAGCATGGCATGATGAAGTTCCGTGAAGACCGAAGCCTCCTGGGTCTGGGGCTGCCCTCGGGTGGCTTCCATGATCGCTACTTCATCCTCAACAGCAGCTGCCTACGGCTCTACAAGGAGGTTCGGGTAAGCCCTGTGATGGACACTTGTATCCCATGTGTGCTCGGACACTCATGAACAACACTGCCCTTGGTCTCCAAGAGTGAGGTCCCATGTGAGTGTCTTGGCAGCACAGTGGCTGACAATAGATGTGTATTCCCCTGCTGTGGCCCTGAGTAGCTACTCGAAGCCTCTAGCCCCATGAGGCCTTGGAGTGAATGTGATTGCCATGACATCACACGTATGCTCCCATGTTGTGTCTGTGGCTTGTCACAACTGTCACAAGAATATGTTCCATAATGACAGTCCTGAGCTGTGCCCATGCCTGCTTTGCCCCTCCCGATGACACAGCCCTCCTGACCTAGTCTACCCACATGCCGGGTGTTCTGGTCCACACCCCTTGGGACCCCATCTTCTGCACACACATGCCCTTGCCACCCCCCTCCCCTTTCCCTTTACATCACTACATAGTCTGTCCAGGCTCTAGACTGGATGATGCCCTCCGTAACCCTGCTCCTCTATCAAACAGAGCCAAAGGCCGTGGAGCGGGGCCCCTGAGACCGTGAGTAGCTGTGGGCCAGCTGCCAGCTGCCTTGCCTTACACTACCTGGGGCCAGGCGAGCCGGGTAGAGCTTGGGGACACAGTCAGGGCTCCCAGTTCTCTCCAGGCATGGTTCCCTGTTCTCTTACAAGTGTTCACTGGCCCCTACCCTGGAGCACAGTACCTAAACTCCGCCCTTTATCCCTAACCCCAAACCAAGACCTTTTCCTCATCACCCTTGTTGGTGCGATTCTAGAGTTTCCCATAGTATGTGGAGAAGTAGTTCTGAAGTCAGCAACAGAGACCCACTTTTGGGCTAAGACTGTTTCATCTCCTCTGCTGCTCTCAGAGCTGCCCACCTTCCAAACCTAGACAAAGTGCTGTGGCTGTCTGAACGGCCTTGACACTGTTGGCCCTGAGCTAGTGGCTCAGCTCTCTTTTGCCACCCGTGAGAGCCCTCCACTCTGCTCTTGAGGCTTCTCAGCCTGTAACTTCTGTCTGGGGGCTGCACCTGGCTTGGTTCAGCTCAGGATCCACCTTCTGTGGATACCACCTTTGCCTTAGGGCACACAGAGTGTAGATGGTTATACAGACCGGCAGTGGAGGTGCGGTGCCCGGCACAGTATTCCAGCCCGAGGTCCCACGGCGATTCCAGCACAATCTCCTTTCTCAGCACAATCTCGTGAACAGATCTGCCGCCCTGGAGGATGGGTCAGATGGTGCGGCATCTTCACCTCTGCCTTTCCATGCTGCCTGGACTCCTGGCAGGCACCTCCACATGTCTTCTCCTCCTTGTGGGTCTCTCACTCACTCCTGTTCACCCCTGCATCAGCCCACCAAGGCTCTAGGGTGTTAACGCCCCTGGCCCTCCTTCTAGGGGTGCTTCCTTGGTCTGTGTGGACAGAAGGAGAAAAGGGTACTTGAGGCGCCTTGGAAGGCAGCTGCTGACCTCTTGGCATAGAGAGAAGGGACAGGGCTGATGGCTATCGAGCTGGACTTAGCACTTGGCCCTACTCTCAAGAGGAGGAAGTTACCTTTTTCCTGGGTGAGAAAGGGCTCAGGGCAGGCTCAAGGCTACTTTGCTCATGGAAGACTAGGATGAAGGCCATGTGTTAGGGTTTGACCTCTGGCTTGTGTCCTGACAGTGTAGAGCTCTGGGGGCTGGCCAGGAGGCAGTCACATGTAAGCAGGCAATGCTGTTGTCACTCCAGTGCCTCTGCCTGGCAGAATCAGCCCGTGGCTAGGCCACTAAAGTGCTGGTGATCCTGATATCAGTTAGTTTATGGGGCCACAGGAAAGATTACGTGAAATTAGGATAGTCTCATACCAAACAGGCTTTGTGGCTTCTCAGTCCCCATCCCAAGACCTTCTGTTGTTTAAGACTCTGGAGCACATGAGAAAGGCATATTCTAGAAAAACCATGGTACCAGCATGAGGAACCATGAGCATAAATTTCATTCCTTGCCCATGACCCTGAACCTCAGTGGTACCCGAACCCCGAGTGCAGTTCCTGTAGGACTTACCTTCTGCCTCCGTGCCTCCCACTGTCCACATATACACCACACACCACAGTTCTGGGGAAAGGAGGCCCGAAGCCTGTTTCCAGATGCAGGAGCTGTCCGTCTCCTGCCCTGACCGGGACTGCCATGTACTGTTGCGCACAGGCCGTGCCTTCTGTCTGACTCTGCTCAGAGTCTCCCCCCCTCCCCATCCTGCCTGACCTCTTCCAGGCCCTTCTTCCTGCTCCGTTGTCCTCACAGGAGCCTCTGTCCTCCCAGCCTGTCTCCATCTCCTACTCCTTCCTCTGCCTCCTAGTGAGCAGGCTGACTCTTTCAATGCCTCAGCCTGTTGGGGGGGTGGCGGCGCAGGTCTTCCTCCCTGAGTTCTGCCCACATCCCGAGACGATCATCCTCTCTCCTGCTGAGGAGCCATGCCTGGGGACGGCTGGGAGCAACGGTGGGGGCCAAGGTGGGGATGGCTCAGTTTTGGAGCCCCAGTTGCAGTTGTAAGCGCATCTTCCTCCCCTACTGTCCTTCCTGTGCCCCTGCTGGCTCCAGGGGTGCCTGGTAAGGGGAGGACTCTAAGCAACAGGAGAAAAGGTCAGTGACCTTCAAGCAGCCTCTTCCTTGAGGGTCACTGCCCCTATTCCCTCTGCCTTTGAGCCAGCCTGCTCCTTCCAAGCCCAGACCCATGTATGCAGAGGTAGGGGCCGGTCAAATGTGTCAATAATCTGGTTCCCCACCCTGGTACATGGGTCTCTTGCTTCCTGTCTTAGACCACTGGGAATTTCTCCCTCTGGCCTATCATACAGAACAGCCGTTAAGCTTCCGCTTGGGCCATTGGCCTTCTGATGGTCCAATAGAGACTGCTAGTCTCTAAGCTTTGTTCACACGGTCAACCCTGGAGCCTCCATGTAAGGCAGGGAGGGAGAATAATGAGTGGCTGAGACAAATATAGACCCTAGTGGGTAGCCAAGGCTCTCACATGGCCTGGGCCTGCTTCCACGTGTTGTGGTAGAGGGCTTCCAGAATCCTCCCTCCAGCTGGTATCGGAGTCAGGTCTATGCTGCGAGTTGAGTCTCAAGTTTTCCAGGCAGCAGGGGCTGGGAATCATTACCCTGGATCTCCCAGCTGGAATGCTACCTTGGGGACTGAGGGTTGACTGTCTGATGCTACTGCAGAGAGCAGTGTCTGGCTGGACAAGGAACAGGGAGGGCTTTGGTGAGAAATTTCCTGGAGGAAGAGCCCTGTTCCAGAATGCGTATCGAGGTGCCAAGGGGTGGGGAAGGCCTTGCGCAGACGGGAGAGCTACTTCTGACTGTACCTACCTGACTGATGAGGTGTCCCCCCAGAGTCACCGGCCTGAGAAGGAGTGGCCTGTCAAGAGTCTCAAAGTCTACCTGGGTGTGAAGAAGAAACTGCGGCCACCTACTTGGTAAGCCAGGCCTGAGGTGCCAGGCCTATGGCTAGGAGTCTCTGAACTGACAGGAAGGCACAGCTTGGCGGGGAGGAGGGGCAATGTAATAGTTTTGCAGTCAGGGTGCTCTTGGCCAGTGGCGTCATCTGGACATACTATAGAAGCACAGATTTTTCAGGTGTCACCCTGAGCCTCCTGAGTTTGGGGTTCTGTGAGTGGGACCCAGGCTTAATGTCTCCTCAGCTGCCCATGTGCTTGTTCATGTTTGAGAATCACAGGTGTGGGTTAGAATCTTGCTAGCATTGTTAAGGGTGAGTCTTTGGGGTTTTTTCGGGGGGACGGGCAAGTGTCAAGTGACATCTTCTTTGGCTCTTCTCTGCAGCTGGGGCTTCACGGTGGTGCACGAGACGGAGAAGCACGAGAAGCAGCAGTGGTGAGCCAGGGGAGATGGGCAGGACCGGGCTCACTTCTCAGTGGGCAGGACCGGGCTCACTTCTGGGTGGGCAGGACCCGGCTCACTTCTCGGTGGGCAGGACCGGGCTCACTTCTCGGGGCCTGTGGGGAGACGGGGCTGGCAAAATGCTTACTCCGAGGCCCTCAGCAGCAACCTGGCCTGTGCCTTCTGCAGGTACCTCTGCTGTGACACTCAGATGGAACTCCGGGAGTGGTTTGCCACCTTCCTCTCTGTACAGGTACCAGGTGCAGGGGGCTCCTCAAGAGGCTCCGCCGGGGAGAAGGGGACAGCAGCAGAGACATGGTGTCATGGGAATTAGGTCTCTGGGCACAGGGAGATTGCAGCAGAGGAAACAACATATCCAAAGGCCTACGGGCGTAAAGGAAAAGGAAGGAATGCTTACAAAAGAAGCACTTAATTTGGGGCTCATAGTTCCACAGGGCTAGAGTTCATGATCGTCATGGTGGGGAGCGTGGCAGTGGTCAGGCAGCCATGGTGTTGGAGCAGTAGCTGAGACACAAGGTGAAAGCAGGCAGACAGACAGACAGACAGACAGAGCTAACTGGGAATGACATAGGCTTTTGAAACTGAAAAGCCTCTCCCCTAGTGACACACCTCCAACAAGGTCACACACATCCTTCCCAACAGTTCCACCAGCTAGGGACCAAGCATTTGATAGGCGCCTTCTCACTCAAACTGCCACATCCATCGCTTACAAGGGGAGAAGCCAGGAGTGCCAGAGGTTGACCTGCAATGGGTCAGCAGCAGACTGTAAGAACTTTGAGACCACACTCAAGAAAGGTGAATAGACCTTGAGTTTCAAGAGAGTTCGAGTGGTATGCAGGGTTAAGCCTGAGGTGGGGTCTCCGGGCTTCCTCAGCACCTGTGTGCAGGAAGCAGAACCACACCCATGGAAAAGGCCTGCTGCAGGGGCTGGTGACCACCCCAGGGCCAGAGCAAGGTCAGAGGCTGCTTAGACTTGAAACAGATGGGTTAGGACAGATGTTCAACAGAGTTCAGAACGGTTTAGGGAGTCAAAACTACCAGGGCTCTGGACTGAGTTCTTCCTGCAGTTATCTTCTAACCCTGAGCTTCTTGATAGTCAAGGCCTAGGTGGAAATGGTGGCTCATGCAGCTTTTTGATGCTGGGAAGGGGAAGCACAGACAGTGTTTTCTGGGGGAAAGATTTTCCTTATGCTGCATTCTTAGGGAGGTTTGTGGATCCGGAGACGGAGCCATTGAGTAATTTAGCTGGCTGGCTTGTGTTGGGATACGGTCATCTGCAAACAGCTGCTTCTCATATCAGCCTCAATCAAAGCTGAGGGCGGCAGCTCAGATCCTAGCTGGAGGCTTTTCTGAGAAGGGTGGGTGGATCTGGAGCTGAGTCTGCAAGCTGAGGTGTGGCCTAGACTTGAGCACTCCATTCCTTGTCCCTAGCACGACGGTCTGGTGTGGCCCTCAGAACCATCTCGAGTGTCCCGGGCAGTGCCCGAGGTCCGGATGGGCAGTGTATCGCTGATCCCTCTGCGTGGCAGTGAAAATGAAATGCGCCGGAGTGTGGCAGCCTTCACTGCCGACCCCCTTTCTGTAAGTGACTCTGGTCCCTGTGGGCAAGGCTGGAGGGGAGGACCTGGCTGGACGCCTGCCTTCACTTGACTAATGTCTTTCAGAGCCCCTCCACTCCCTTCCTTGGCTTTCTGGCCCCCCTCTGTCTGGTCCTGGGAACCCCAGCCGCTGACATTTCTGCATCTGCTCTGTTGCTGGCTGGACCCTTTTATTGTCACAAAGTACTTACAGAATCTGGGCTTCTGTGCTCCCTACAGCTCCTCCGTCATGTCTGAGCATGGAGTCATTCTGACTCTGGGACACTGTCACTGCCACCAGGAAGCCTTCCTGTTCAGACACCCTCGTGCTCTGCATGCTTGGTGTGAACCAGCAGAATACACGGGGACGCTGTACCCACATCCCACATCCTGACTACAGCACGGGCTCCTTGGCTGGACAGGAATGGGCTGGCAATGGGATTTTCCCGGAGGGGCCCTTCCCTGCTCTCCTGACCTGGCTTGCTTACCCAGGGTCGCTCTCCTTGAGTTTGTGGAATTGGAGAGATGGGCAGAAATCAGGAGCTCTGTAAGAGAGGCTGGAGGTCCTGGGGCCCCGCTGGGAGGGAGCCCACCCCTTTCCCATAGGCTCCAGAGCAGCAGAAGGCTGCTACCATGAAAGAACTCCTGGGGAGTCTGGGAGGGAGCTCATGGGAAGCTTTACAAGCTAAAAGCTGGGCTTGGGGAGGTCAGCCCACTTCTGGTGTAAGCTGCAGGGAGGCCCAGGCTGTGGCTGCCTGCTACCCCTCCCCCACTTTGGATACTTTTTGATAATATAAATATATCTGTCTATTTTACCCCGTGGTACTGGGGCCTGCAGTTGTTTGGGGGGATTGGTGTCCTGGGCTAAGAGCACAGTTGGTTGTGAAACTAGAGGTTAGTGCCAGTGCTTTGAGACCCAGCACCTGAGTTCTGCTCTCTGCATGTTTACTGAGCTGTTTGCTCTCCACTCTCCTGGAAGAGGCCCGGCCCGGCCCTCTCCTATTGTGCCACTGTGCTGCTATGGAACTCCGGATCCAGGACAAGACAGACCCCAGCTAGCCTGAGCCCCCATCTCTGCAGCCGCCTGAGCTGGGGCCTGGATATGTATGTTAGTGACACAGCACAGCCCCTCATTGCCCCTGCTGGGGATACGAGACCACAACTCACAGACAAAGGCTTTGCTGGGCTAGGGAGGAGGACTTCCTGTCACCCTGGGCCCCATGCAGATGCTTCCAGAGTGGAGGCTGCCTTTCACGGGGAGTTGTCCTCAGAGGGAACTGCCTGCCAGCAGAGGAGGTAACCAGCGATTCAAAGACAGACTGGAGACTCCCTGGGAAGGTGCCAAGCATTCTGCCTCCTGTTACCATCATACCTCAATGGCCCAGCTGCTGGTATTCTGTCCCTAGCCTTGGAAGGGGCTGAGCAGACGAGGATGGTCACATGACATCTGATGTTTGTGGTCCCACTTGATGGGAGCTGGATGATGCCGTGGGGCTCTGCACACCTGGACACGGGTCCCTTGTGGGTCTCATTTCTCAGGAAGAGGTGGGGTGTTCACCAGGAGGCAGCCCTACTGAGCTGTTACACAAGCTGGCCCAAGGTCTCCGTCACTTTGTCCTCAGGAACTGTACCAGGCCCTTCTACCATGTCCTCCAGGCAGACAGGGTTAGAGGACTTTCCTGCCCAAGAGCTCCTTAGAATTCCTCCCTGAATTTGTTCTCCTGTCCACCAACCCCAGAGGCTCAAGAAGACGGAACAACTAGAGGTGCCCTCTGCCGGACTGGCACTGTCATTATCCTGGTTTAGGGACTAGCTGGAGGGACTACATTCAGCCACTAGGGGGCAATCGTGGCCCACTCATAGTCGCTCAGTTTGAACAGGTCTGTATAACACCCCCACCCCCCAGTGATGGTCCTGGCTCTGGCTTTGTTCTGCTGCCAGCTGAACCACTCATCCCTGCCTCTGGCCAGAGACTAGTGATGTGTTGACAGCACGGTGGAAGGGCTTTGGCCTTGGGCCCCGGGACATGGGAGAGCGTGGGTACCCGGTGCCTACTGAGTGCCTACTGTAAGTCTGGGGCGTGCTGTCTGCTCTCTGCTTGAGATCTGGGATCTAGAGACAGACACCTGACATCAGACCCTCCTCAGCTTTCCCCCTGCTTCCAGCATGGTTTTCCTCTCGTGAGGCCCCCTGAGAAGGGTGCGGTAGCCAGCCCTCTCTGCAACATAGTAGAATGCTTGGGGTGAGGTTGCATCCCGGCAGGAGCCATGAGCCTCAACCTTCATGAAAAATACCAGTGTCCACAGTGTTGGGACCCCAGGGCAGGAAGCTCTGTTGTCACAGGGATTCCTAACGCAGGAGCCAGTGCCAGAAGGGAGGGTTGCTTGGGGTGGGAGGAGGAAGGACTTCCCGGAGCAGTGTGTTGGGGGTAGGATTGGGATACTGGGGAGAGAACTGGGAAGAGAACCCCAGGGGAGAAGAAGGCTGCAGTAGGTCACAGCCTGGGTACCTAGGGCATTGCAGGCCGAGTACTAGAAGAGGAGCGGGAGAATGGGAGCTGGAGTCTCTGCCTTTCTCCCTTCTAGCTCCTTCGTCAATCCTCCTGCTCTGCATGGTACCCAGCAAGGAGACTGAGGAGCCCTTGGCTCCACAAACCCTGGGCACACAGGTAGTAGTGAGGCAGGTGAGAGAAAAGCCGGGCCCTGCCTCCCTTCCCCTTGAGCCCTGGGGTGGAGGAGATGCGGAACTTCTTCTGGAGCCCTGCTCTTGCTGCTGCCTGCCCACAGCTGTCTTGGAAAGCACGGGTGTGTAGGCAGACATCCTCTTTAGAGTGTGTGGCTCTGGCAGTTGACTGGGTCTCTGATCTTCTGGGTTCTCTCTGTGTCCTCTGGAGCTACCTCCTGGCAGGTTCCTGGGAGGATTGAATGAGCGGATGAGTGTGAAGTGCCAGCCGTGCCCCTTGGTATTCTCCCAGATAATGTCCGTAGAGACGTCTTCATGCCATCTAGGAGGAGAGCTTGAGAGGTTCGGCCAGCACTTACTGAATACTCACTGTGTTCACTTCTCATTCACCAAGCACTTGTTGAACACCTGCTGTGTGCAGAGCTTTGCTGAGCATGTGGGGCAGATGAGTAAGTGGTGTGGGGGAGGAGGGAACCCCTGGGGGGAGGGGATGCCGATCAGAAAGGGTTCATGACGAGTACAAGTCCAGAAGAAAGAGGGGAAGGGGTGCTGGGAGGCAAAGGGAGGGAATGGCCTTGAGCCCAGGCAAGTGCATGTGGCCGGCAGCAAGGGCCTGTTTTGGCTGGGGGCTAGCACCCAGGCACACTCACCCCAGGGCCTCACACCAGACACCCCAGCCCCCCTCCTCCACACCCTGGCTGTGAGGTCTTAGCTCTGCTGCCCACCCAGGAGACATGGCCACACCCCTGTCTAATGGGCCCCTTAGGATCTTGTCCCTACCAGAAAACAGCATCATTTCTGCCACTTAGTTACTTAGTGACCTGAATGACCCAGACCCTGCTCTGGGATTGTGTGACTCTCTCTCTCTCTCTCTCTCTCTCTCTCTCTCTCTCTCTCTCTCTCTCTCTCTCTCTCTCTCTCTCTCTCTCTCTCTCTCTCTCACACACACACACACACACACACAGCTGCTCAGAATCTCCCTGCCCCTCATGAAGTGCCTTTGGATTATTCTTCCTTCCCAATGTCCATGTTATGTTCTGTGAAAATATGGGGAGGATTTGTACCCAGCTCGACAACCAGGGGCTGGCCCTGTGAACAGCCCTGGCACGTCCCCTCTTCCATGCTACTTTCAGCCTGTGGAAATTTCCGCACTTTCTCTGCCCTGGTTACAGCTCCTACTGCTGTATTTATCACCCTGGAGACACAGTGACACAGGCGCACACAGGCCACATGCACACACTCATGCTCTGCACACTCGTGCCTGCACACCCCAGCTTGCACCGCCACAACTGCAAGTGCAATGTGTGTGCGTGCATGTGTGTGCGTGCATACATGCTCGCACGCGCGCACACGCACACACACAGCACGTGGGGGAACACCCACACACAAAGAGCTCTCGAGGAAAATTGCTCTCCCTCCTGCTGCTGCTCCTCCCCCTCTCGTCCTCCCCCACCTCCCCCTCTGTTCTGTCCGCCCACCACCGCCCACAGACCAAAGAGCTGGGCCGGACTGTGCCTCCCACCCCTTGTCAGCTGGGAGGCACTCTGCCTAGTGACTGGAGTGTGCGCCCCCTCTTCCCATCTTGCCCTCCCTTTCCCCTTCGTCACCCACCTCCCTGCAATCCTGTCTTCTCTGTGTAAGTCCCCTCTTTGTCACTCTTTTGACTCTGAAGTGGAAACTGTCATTCTTCCCTGCTTTGTCTCCTGAGGTTCAAGTTGGGGGACCCCAAGGACTGATCCCGGGCAGAGAGATAGGCTAGGAGGGGTGCCGGGGACCTGCGTCTCCTCAGCTCCTGTCACCTTCAGTCCCCTTGATGAGGGGAGGGCTGTGTGCTTGGCACCATGGAGACCAGCGTCATGGCAACACAACCTGGGTGGGCACAGCTTCCTCCTCCTGGGCTGGGGGGCACAGAAGGAGCCACCACGGGTCTGAAGGTGGTGGGCCTTGTGCTGGTGCCCAGTGCTGGTCACCGCATCACCCTGCCTACCCCTCCTTGACTCACTACAGGCTGCGGGGCTCAAGGCCCTAGTCCTCCCCAGACACTGCAGGGAAGACACTGCCAGCGCCAACACAGCAAGTCCTGCCTTCCCTCTTGACTCTACGCAGGGCAGAGAGTTCAGTTTAACGTGGGTTTGGGCTACCTGTGAAATCTCCAGTCATCCCTTAGCCTTGGCAGTGATAAGAGTACAGCTGACACCTGCTGTCCTCAGGCCATCTGCATACTCTCACTTCACCCCTACGAGACCCAGGGTGGCCAGTAAGTGGCCCAGAAAGGACAGGTCAGGCTTGGGAGGGTACCCACCCTAGCAGCTACTCTTCTCTTAACAGAGCCGACTGTTCTCACTTGTGTCTCCCTCGTTGGAGAAGGTTCCCTGGCACGTTCTGTAGTCTCATCAGGATTTGCCCTTTGGGGTGTCTAGAAACTGAGAGCTAGCTTTCCAGGGGTGGGGTGGCACAGAGCCTTCCTCAAGTGGTTAGAGTTAGGGAGGCTTTGCAGCCCCACAATGCAGAGACTGGTTTTTGTCCCTGTAAGAGTTGTCTCTGCCACCCAGAGTCCAGGAGGAGACTGCTGCCTTCCAACCCAGCCTTGGCTTGTCTTCTGACCTCTGTGCAGTCATGTTGCAGCTGCTTTTCCTCCTGGCTTATGTAATCATTCAAATATAACAGCTGCCTTAATCCCACTGAGTCACACCCGCTCCCTTCTCAGGTGTGGGGGGTTGCACAGGAAAGGTAGAGGAGGAGGCTCAGGCACTCACTCCAGGCAAGGAAGGTCCTGGTGTGCTGGACTGGACGGTTGGGAAGAGCAAAACTTAGAACAGGAAGTCACAGGCCCTGCTCTGACCCATCCTGGTAAAACACCACACTGGGCGGTGTGTGTGTGTGTGTGTGTGTGTGTGTGTGTGTGTGTGTGAGTGTGTGTGTGTGTGTGTGAGTGTGTGTGTGTGTGTGAGTGTGTGTGTGTGTGTGAGTGTGTGTGTGTGTGTGTGTGTGTGTGTGTGCTCCCTCCTCAGGGCTTAGGCTTTATCCACAGCCTTCTTTGCTGATCCTCTGTCCCTACTGGAGAAGAGGCAGCCACTTATGCAGACAGGAAAGTAATTTGGGGCACAATGGCCAGGAGTCTCTGATCCATGGT